AGTTTTAGTATGAGAGAGAGAGGGGGGGGGGGGAAGAGGGAGAGAGAGAGGAAGGCAATCTGAGAGACAACTGACTGTGAGAGTGAGGGCAGCCTAGGAAGGTAGAGAGAGAGAGAGGGAGAGAGAGAGAGAGAGAGAGAGAGAGAGAGAGAGAGAGAGAGAGAGAGAGAGGCTTACCTGCATGGCTACTCAGATATTTCTGGACTCCATATCTCGTGTGTGTCTCATGTGCATATCTGATGTGATGCAAGCTTTGTGTTTGATGTTCCATGGATGGTGATCTCATTGCAATAAATGATAAGATGCTTGACCAACACATAATCTGTACGTGAGGTCACCGGTAGTAATCAGGACGACGTCCTGATTATAGACACCCCTATTATATAGGGCGTGTCTACTGCATTGGGGACGGCGTCCCCATTTGCAGCGGACGGCGACCATCCACGCAATTCACAATGAAAAAGGCCGAATGGGCAACAATAGTATTGACAGAGAACTATACATCACTTTGCCATTTACCCCCTCGAAATGTGTGAACATAAACCCTCTCTCTTGTGTAACATTAAATGGCACTACATACATCTCCCGTGGAAAGACTCATGTCTTCCTGGAGTGTGACAACTTACTTCAAGCCTCTGGAACCAAATACTCCAACATACCTACAGCTAAACTATGCCCTAAACCTATGAAGCTTCTAGAACTCTGGGTCCATTTCAGTTCATGGACACAGCATTTACATACTCTGCCCAGCATTTTGGGCCAGCCTGGGGATCAGACTGGGCTATGCTCAACACCACAGTCGCAGCGCATGGCAGTCTGAAAATAAGATTTAGAACTTTTCATGGGCGAAGTGTTTGCAGCACTGGAGATATGGAGGACAAAGGGACCCCAGGCCTAGAATTCTTTCCACAGGAATTCTAGCTCCCCCTCTGGGAGTTGTTTGTTGAATTACCTCCATGATATGTGCTGGAAGTCCAAGAGGAAGGAATGTATGATATCCCTATGCCTCCTAAAGGATGAAGCGGGTCCTGACTAATACCCTCCGACTGGCCCAAGAGAAACCAGCAGTGGGCGGCCCCCGTTGGGGCACCGCAGTCCCGGTCGTTTGTTGCCCACACATTTTTGTAATGTTTCGTCGGGAAGGTTCGGTCGAGTTTGGGCGTCGTTTGGTGTCCGCTTCACACCCGATTTTGTTTTTGTCGTCTTCGCACTTCCAGCT